ACACTCCTAAATACCACCCATACAAGGCGGACTGAAGTAGCCACACGGCGGTCGAGGCCTCGATGGGTTCAGAAATGGGTGTCGAACCACTTGGACTAGTAGCCAAGGTATCACCAACTCCGAGCCTAGGAAGCGGGTCGAACGATGATCAAAAGGCGGTACCGACACCGGCTTGGACTTGGTGCGGCCATTTCCAGATGCCGTTGCACTACCCGAAGTACACAAAAGCCGAATACGAGGCAATGCCGGAGTGGAAGCTCGATTGTTTGCTAAAAGACTACGGACTATCCGTTTCCGGCGACGTCGAACAGAAGAGAAGGTTCGCCATGGGAGCTTTTCTCTGGCCTTGCTAGGCTACAATATTTATCCATCCTAGTCCCTATGTATGCTTTGGTTAGTTTCCTTGGCCAAGTGATGAAAATATGATGATTTGAACTGTGTTCTGAGTTTCTTGCTAATATTAGTATTGTTAACTTTTGTGAAATAAATCTGGGTGTTTTTTTAATGTTTTTAAAGCGATATAAAGTAAATTTGTTTAGGGTAAAGTACACAAATAGTCCCTTGATTATAGGACATAAATAAATTTGTTTAGGGTAAAGTACACAAATAGTTCCTTGATTATAGGACATAAATAAATTTGTTTAGGGTAAAGTACACATAGTCCCTTGACTATAGGACATTATTTTATTAATTCTTTTGATTATTAAAGTTATAAAATGGTCCAACGATTGTAGGGTGTTAATTTGTTGAGTTAATCAACTATTAAAAGTTATAAAATAATCACCAAACTATTTGTATTTTCTAAACTCATCAATTACTATTAAAAAATGCCAATCATTTGATCTAGACGTTAATCCACTAATTGAGACATGATAAAATCTTATCTCAGAATCTCAATGAGATTAGTTTGATCATATCTCAGTTAACAAGTTTACGTTTAGCTCAAATTGTTACTAATCTTTTAATGAAAAGGATGAGTTTGGAATATATCAATAGTCGAATGATCATTTTGTAACTTTTAATAATTGAAAGACTTACAAAGATTCTATAATCAAGGAACAATTTTATAAATTTTAATAATTAGGAGACTCAACAAAATAACATTCTATAGTCAATGGACCATTTTTGTATTTTACCCATTTGTTTAATAAAATTTACGTAGATTACATTTTTAAGAGAAATATCAATTTAAATTTCAAATATAATGTTATTAGACGCTGAAATCATAAATTTTACATAAAAAGACTTTTGAAAAGATTACTATTATAATCATAGTCTTTCTCAAAAAATTATTTCCACATTTACCCAAAGTAACACTATATGTAGAGATTTTTAAACAGAGATTTATTTGCAGGGATTACTTCACATTATATGAAGATTGTTCAACTATGTATTTATTTATTTATTTATACATGCATTGCATTTTATCTTTATTTTTTATTTTCTGACTGTCGGAAGTCTTCCACGGAAGTTGTTCTCAACCTGACGTTGGGGGCAACCTACTACACTATCTCACCTTTACTCCCATTGTATATGGGAATAGGGTTTTGTTGTTGTTGTTGTATGCTTATGCTTTTGTCACAACAATCAAGTAATGTATTGATGTTTAGGGATGGTTAAATTATCTGAATTTAATAGTTTTTTAGTTGATTCGAGGATTATTATTTTTTATTTAGATTCAAAACGAGTTTTCTGGAAGAATTTCAATTATTTCTTAATCTTATTAAGTGTATATGAAAATAAAAATTGCCAACGAGATTAACTCAAATGATAAATAATTTAATATTGTATAAACTAATTTTTGATTCAAATTTTATGTTGTTAACACGTGTTTATCTTAAAAAATATTTTTAAATCCATCACTACATCAACTGGGGAATGGATGTAGGTTTATGCATCAATTATCCAAAAAAAAATTAAATTGAAAGTAGAAACAATTAAGCTATTACAGTAGTAGAGGAAACACAGAGTCCTGTTCCAGAAGGGAAATCATTTCGGCTGGAGGGCTGGATAGCCGAGTGAGCTCCAGAGAGTGAGGCGCAACACTTCTAGCAAGGTAATCTACTGGTTTGTTGCAGTCTCGAGGGATCCATACGACGTTTGTAGCCCAGGCGCTACATCTAAGAGCATCAATGAGTCTTAACGAGAGGGAGTGGATTGCGACTCGCGTTCGGATCTTCACCATGTCAACAGCTTCAGCACAATCTGATTGGATCCGAACCATTGCAAAGCCTTCCTTCTGGGCACACTGAAGACCAATGAGGATCACCCAAAGCTTGGCTTGAAGAGCGGAAGCTATTCCAACAGATTTCTGTAAACCAGAGCGCCAAGCCCCGGTGTAATCTCGGAAGAGGCCACTAATCGAACCAGTACCTGATGTTGAAGAGATGGCGGCATCGACATTCAAGCAGAGCCATCCTGGGTTCGGTTTCTTCCATTTGGCGTCTTGATGGGGTAAAACCATAGGTGTCGGAGGCGTGGAACTGTTATAATAGTACCTGGCCCAAGTAATCCCCTTACTCAAAATGCCATTAGTGGAGTTTTCCAAGCTGTTGAAGACGTGATCGTTCCTCCTTAAACCAAAGCCCTCGTGCTCTCGAGGCTGACAAAGGGCTTCCAAATTAACCAAAGACATCTTAGACGCTGTACCAGAAGAGCCCTAGATGAATTTACAGACAAGTTTTTCAATATCAAAACAAACTCTCTTAGGAAGCATTGTGGGCTGCATGAAATAAACCGGAATTGCCAAGAGGGTCAAATTGGCAAGGACAATACGGCCTGCCATAGACAAGGAGAGATAGAAGGGTGGATGAGGCCATCACCCTACAAATTTCAAATCCCTTTATATTTAAATTTTTTTTTATATTTTCTATTGGAAATTTATTTTCACTTTTGAATATAAGTATAATTAATTTTTTTATTTAAAGTAAAAAATAGGTACTCAAACTATGTATTCTTTTTCTCTTTAAGTACCTAAATTATATTTTGATCAAACTAAGTCTTTAAACTATTATATTTAAATATTTTAAGTCCCATCATTTTTCCAATTAAAAAATATTTTTCGACCAATAAGATGTTGATGTATCACACAAAATTAAGTACTTGTTTTGACCAAAAGAATAGTTCAAGGACTTAAAGCAAAAAAAGTCAATAGTTTAATAACTTATTTTGACCAAAAAAATAGTTTAGGTACTTAAAAGTGGTTACATATAATAGTTTAAGTACTTAGTTTGACAAAAAAAATAGTAAGTCTACCCACTTCTTCCTTGGTCGTCCTCTCCTTCTGGCACCGTCGACTGTAATTGACTCTACCCTCCTGACCGCATTCGACGATTGTCGCCTAAGGACATGCCCAAACCACCGTAGTATTCCCTCCCTCAATTTTTCGGATACATGCACCACCCCCAAGGACATCAAATGCCCATCGAAGCATTCTCATTTCTGCGGCCTCCATCCTCCTTACGTGATCCTTCTTGATTGCCCAACATTTTGATCCATACACCAGCGCTGGTCTTATTGCCATTCTATAAAATTTTTCCTTAAGTTTTAGAGGCACCTTCTTGTCACACAAAGCTCCAATTGCAACCCTCCACTTTAGCCATCCCGCCTTTATACGGTGTGTAATGTCATCATCTATACCCCATCTTCATGTATCATAGACCCCAGGTACTTGAAACAATCCTTTGAGGGGAGAACGTGTCCTTCTATACATACTTCTACATCTTTATCGTTTTGGTTCCCACTGAAGTTTGAACATAAATACTCTGTCTTTTTAATATTGATCCTTAGACATTTTTCTTCCAAAGCAGTCTTCTAGGTAGCCAGTCTATTATTCAACTCAGTTTTTGTTTCAGCAACTAGGACAAAGTCGTCACGGAAAAGCATACACCATGGAACACCGTCTGGTGTCGCACAATAGATGTCGTCCATAATCAAGACGAAGATGTAAGGGCTAAGAGCAGACCCCTGGTGAAGTCCGATTTCCACCGGGAAAGCCTCGGTGTCGCCAACTGTAGTCCTGACATATGTAGTATATCTACAGTACATATCACGAATCACCCGGATATAAGCAGTTGGGATCTGTCTCGTTTCCAAGGTCTTCCAGATCATATCGCGGGGAACGCTATCATATGCCTTCTCAAGATCAATGAACGCCATGTGAAGATCTATATTTTTTTCCCTATATTTCTCCATAAGTTGTCGAAGTAGATGAATCGCCTCCGTAGTAGACCTGTCTGACATAAAGCTAAATTGGTTTTCCGAAATCTTAATAATCTGTCTCAACCTAGCCTCTATCACCCTATCTCATAGCTTCATGGTATGACTGAGTAGTTTAATACCTCTGTAGTTACCACAATGTTGGGGATCTCCTTTATTCTTATAGATTGGTATCACCGTAGACTATCTCCACTCCTCTGGCATCTTGGCAGTCTCTAAAATAATATTAAAGATGTTGGTCAACCACTTAACTCCTTCTTCTCCTAGGTCCAACCACACAGTGATATGAATTTGATATGGACTGACAGCTTTGTCCCTCCTCATCTTTCTAAGAGCCATTTTGACTTCCTCAATCTCAATCCTACTTGTAGGGCAGTCATTGGCCGTAGTATGATGGTCGATTGATCTATCAACGATACTATCTCTACAGGGAGAGGCACCATCATTAAATAATCCGAGGAAGTAACTATCCCAAACCCTCTTAATATCATGATCTTTCTCTAAAAGAACACCATGTTGTCCTTAATAAACCTAATACTACCTAGATCATTTTTCCTATTCTCTCTGGATTTTGCAAGCATGAAGATGTCATTTTGTCTTTCCTTGGTGTCTAATCTCTTGTACATTTACTCGTATGCCTTATCCTTTGTTTTAGTCATTAAATTTTTTTATATCCACGTTGGCAATCCGTAGCGTCTTACCTGAACCAATCAAAATAAGACACTTGTCACAAGCCAGTTTCCCACACAGTTGTATAAACTTCTTCCCCAACGCTAAATTTTTTTGTTCTCATTGATTGTCAATCTGCTTGCAAAAAACCTCAAAAATACCCAATCTCCATTAATAGTAATATAGGGTTTCAAAAAATTACAAGATGACTTCGCCAACAGGATCAACAAAGGGTGGCAGAGGCAAGCCCAAGTCCTCCAAAGCCGTTTCCCGGTCTCAGAAAGCCGGCCTCCAGTTTCCCGTCGGCCGTATAGCCCGCTTCCTCAAAGCCGGCAAATACGCCGATCGTGTCGGTGCCGGTGCTCCCGTCTATCTCTCCGCCGTCCTTGAATACCTCGCCGCCGAGGTACGTCACCTTTTTTTTGTTTTCCTTTTCCTAATTCATGTTGACAACGTCGGACCTTTAATGTAATTTTTTAAGCCATTTTGCAGGTTCTTGAACTCGCTGGAAATGCGGCTAGGGATAACAAGAAGAATCGGATCGTTCCGAGGCATATACAATTGGCTGTTAGGAACGATGAGGAGTTGAGTAAACTTTTGGGGACTGTTACGATTGCTAACGGTGGTGTTTTGCCCAATATTCATCAGAATCTGTTGCCGAAGAAGACGGGCAAAGGGAAGGGGGATATTGCATCGGCTTCACAAGAATTTTAAACCGAACATTTCTTTTCCTTATTTTGGAGTGTGAATGTTTCTCCTCCTTTTCTGGAATATTATCCGTATAGTATTATAATATCATAGTTTTCAGCTAGTCCTGTATAGCCCATCTCTTGGGCTGGTTTTGATTTTGGTTGAGTAGGTTGTGCAAAATTGAAGTTCTTATATATGAAAGTACTTTGCATTTGCTGAAATTTTCTTGCAATTCAACATGCCAAACAAGATTTAGCATTTCCAGTAGCTGAAATCTATCTGTATATATATAATATATTAAACACAATTGAATTAACCAAAATATGCAATTTCCGCTGCCATCTCCTTCCATTATCTCAATCATATCCTTTGTTGTTGGCCAAGTGTTGGGTATGTATGTTCATTTTCTATTTTGTTAGTGTACATCCCAGTGTGCTGAGACTCAAGGGAAGAGTGATGAATACTCTGGAAAATGGGTTTGAAAGAGATGATTCTGTTCTCATTATACGGCCAAGGTTAGCTTGCTTTATTTCTCGACTCATCAGATGTTTAAATTATCTCTTGATGGATTCTGATTATCAGTCTCAGTTTTGATAATCTCTCTCTTGTAATTGTTGTTTGAGTTGCAGTCCAGACATGTGTAGGGCTTTATTCTTATTTCAAGAAAAGGAAGAAAAAAGAAAACCAGTTTAATAGGCTAGTTTACTTGGTTCAATTTAAGTTTATATTGTTTAGCCTCATTGCAAGGAAGGAAAAGAAAGGAAAATTAAATTTGTAATGTTTCATAATCTAGTTTTACACATTTCAATCCATGGTTTTGTATCTAGCACTAGTGTAAGTACACATTTACACTGTAGAATTTAGTTGATTTTTGGGGGGGAAATTTTGACCATTTTATGCTTTGCATCACTTAGATACAAATACACTTTTGATCTATTGATCTGAAAACTAACAAGGATTATGACAACTAACTGTGAAATTTAGGATATTTTGTGGACTATGATGATTCTAATGATGTGGATATATAGTATTTTGAGGACTAGTTTCCTAATTGTTTATATCTGTTAATGTTTAAACTTTGCTGTTTTTGCATTAAATGTTGATGATGATAACAAGTTGTGAGACAGCTTGTTGGGTCATCTAGGCAAATGAGTTTATTTTTTTCATAGTATGGGGGTAATTATATGGTGTATATGTTTAGAGTCTTTCGAACACAGGTGTATAGACGTAGTTGCTCAAACTTGGGTTCTCTAGGGAAAACAATATTATCTTTTACTACTGAAACCACTCAATTATATATTTCGAGGTTGATAGAATGTTATTTCCATATGTTACGACTTACGATTGCCTGTATCATTGCACTGGAAATGTGTCTGCATTGTTCGTCGTTTGAAGATTATTTCCGTGTAACTAGTGCATCAGAATGTTATGATAACCTTGTGCAAGTAATTTCATTATCACTTGTATCAAAGGGAATTCTCTTGCTAATTCCTAATTGTCCTTTCATGGAAGTCGCCCTTTTAGACAATCTTAAATGTATGTAATTTGTTTCTTCGAAGCAGTTATTTGTTGTATTTGGGATAATCAACATTTTACTTAGGCCTGTAAACGAATAGTTCGTTCAACGAACCGTTTGTTCATTTACGTTCGTGAATGTTCAATAATTCGTTCGTTTATGTTCGTTCGTTTATATTCAGTCCAATCTCTAGAACTGTTTGAAATATTAAGACCTAATGAATTTTAACTTTAAACCCATTAATATTTTAAAGCCCAATTAATTTTAAACCCAAATAAAAATGCTCGAATCAATTAAAGAAATTATAAAACCTAAAATCATTTGGCAAGGAAAAAAACTATTCCTGAATATAAATCTAATTAATTTTACGTTTGTTCGTTTATGTTCGTTTACATTTGTTTATAACCGTTCATTTATGTTCTTTTACATTCGTTCATTTTTGCTTGTTTATCATTTTAATGAACAAACATGAACGGACAAGAATAAGTTAAATTTCTTAATGAACGAACACGAACAAGAAATTTTCCTTCGTTTAATTGTTCATAAAGTGAAATGAATGACCATGAACATTACCTTAATTCGTGTTCGTTGGTTTATTATGTTAAAGTTAAATAAATGAACATTACCCTTGTAACCCCCCAGACCGATGCGGGTAGCCCGATCCGATTCGGGAAGTCACATTAGGGTCACCGGAGCGACCCACCGTAAAAATAGCGGAAATTTTAAAACTTTTTATCAGAACATGTAAACTTATAAAATCATTTATCACTATTTAAAAATAAAACAGATTTCCAAACTCGTATATAAACCAAAATACAATTACATGCCCCCTAATCACAAGTACCATACTCTGCAACCACGCCGGAAGAACTCCCTTACTGAAGTCGATAGATGCACTGGTACAATTGTTTTAACCTGAAAAGGTGAGTAATAGAATGAGCTTTGGAAAGCTCAGTAATACAGAACTACCAGATGATGCTACATGACATGTAGATAAATAGAAAGCCATATAATTTCCTTATTGAATCATATGTATACCAGCTTGTAGAATAATTTGGGGTTCCCTTAGAAGTTCATCGAGTAGAAGCCATGAATCTCAGTTCATAAGAAACCTTTCATACAATCACGTTTTCATGAGGTCAAATAGGATGTCTAGTGTGTTTCATCAATACGATAAAATCATAATAGGTACACTAATCAAATGATAGTTCAGTAAAATCCCATAAACCATATTGTAGTGGAGCTTTTTAAACTCGTATTTTAAAACCATCTTACAAAGAATTAACCTAAGGGAACATCTTAGGGCCTGAGAGCCTACCCAAGATAGATTTCGGGGCCGTGGGGCCTACCTAAGAACACATCTTAGGGCCGTAGGGCCTACCCGAGAATGATCTCAGGGCCGCAGAGCCTACCTAAGTGTCACATTAGGTCCATAAAAATTTTCCAGCTTGATCAGAGCTGTACTTTACAAATCTGTATCTCCAAGATATAGTTTATACAATGATACAAATCCATAAGCCATCACCGTTAAGTCGGTGCATCCATAAAACAGAAACCATAGATTTCAGTGTACCACGTGTTAAAACAATAAAACAATTATTTTCAAAATATAAGGAACACACTAGAGAATCCATATATTTTTCAGACGCATTTTGTAGTTATCAATATAGATAACACGAACTTGTGCAATTTGATCAGATTCCAGGAATAAGATCTCATTGAAGAGAATCGATTTCTAACCGATATAATCAGACATTTCTGATTGATACTTTAGAATTCCACTAAGTTTCCATGTGCATCAGGAAAACGTTCAGGAACCTTTTTACATAATAATTCTAAATTCAGATTTACTGCGAGTGATTCCATTACCCAAACAATCAGGGGTATTCAGGAATATACTTTGAATTCATAGGATTTCAGCCCAATTGTACCAAATGAGGTATTCAGAATCTTTTCCTTCTGCGTTACTTGCGTTTTCAAACATGACCGAATTGATTTTAGATCAAAATATGTAATCGAAGATTCAAGTCATTTACGATCTATGACTATCGATAGTATTATCAAACAACTCAAGTTACACAACTCACAGACTGATGCATGTCAACAAATCAATTCATTATCCTTCCAATGCATTCACTCTTTAATACCAAAATGCATATCAATAGATCTTCCAAGGGTCTTTATTACATTTCCATGTTTCAACGATATCAGAAAATATGGACGTACTTGATTCATGTTCATAACCCATAAGGACAATTCATACAATGTTTCCAAACTCATCCAATCACCTATTTAATCCTCGGTCATTGAGGTTACTTAGTTCATTTAGTAAGCAAGTTTATCCCGATTACTTAGAGTTTTCCAGAATAGTTCAGACATTTCTGAATCTCAAATACATGTTGCACTTCCTTTCAATTCAATTTAGTCATATAATAAAGTCATTCTGGTATTCGTGGTTGATTTATCTCACGAATACCCACTTATTAGTACTGTATGCACTCTAAAGTTGAGCTGAACCAAGTACTTCCAGAATTATCATCGATCCAAATTTGAGAAGACGAACAAACATTCAAGTGGTAATTATATCGTTCAGGTAATGATATAGCACTAGCGTTGGTTGATCACTTAAGTTGCGTTCCATAACTTTTACTGGTAGCACAACATCCATGTTTATTTGGATTTCTTAATTAATCCAAGACATTTACTTATTCTAGGTCATAAGGGCATTTTGGTTCTCAACGTTTTTATATTCATTACAAAGCTTTGAGTATATCCATTCATTCATGAGCTTGGTGACATTCTTGAGTCATTTCCATTCCAGGGGTATTTTGGTCATTTTACAGATCCAATGTATTTCCATCATTTCCTTACGTCTGATCTTATTATTTAATTTAATCTTATCACTTACTTCAGTCCTTTCAAACAATTCTGACCAAATAACACATTCGATAAATCATTCTTCATGTATTTACTCAATTCGGTAATTTCCAGGTTAAATGTCTTTTCAAATGTTACTAACGAATTTTCAGAAAATTTTCCATACAAAGGTAGGATCTCAACAACCAAATCAGTAATTTATCGATTTAAAAACAAATTCTCAGGTTACTCTCTCATTCAGAGTCAACTTGGACTATTTACCTCTCAAGGGCATTTTCGTAATTTCTTAACCAGATAATTTCGGTATTAACTCTTAACAAAAAATAATATAATTTGGAGATCCTATATTAATTGCTTTCCCGAACATTCTTTGATCTTAAAATGATTCTTTAACCGACTTCTAGTATCTTGCACAAACCCTCGGGTTTAAAAACCGGTTATCCGTATTTCCTAAGCAAAACTAGCATTTCTTATGCACATATGAAATTTTACCGAATCAATATATCTTTTCAGAGTTATTAACCAACTTCCAAGGACAATTCTTGTCATCTTACAATATAAGGGTATTTTCAGAATTTTACCCTACCGGAGTATTCTCATAATTTCTCATCCAAGTACCTTTAACATTTAACCTTTGATGATATAAAATATAATTTACAAATCCATGGCCAATTTCTTTATCACTAATCACAACTTGTAATTTAATTGTAACAATCTTTCAATCTCTTATATTAGTCATTCGATCCATATTCAGTTACTGAATTTCTACCACATTCATATCGAGTGTATAAATTATTCAACTCCACAAAAGTGACCAACATTAT